TGGAAGCTAAGGGACTGATGTGGTAGGAGTCAGGAGTGAAGAGGGCTGGAAGAATAGGAGGTAATCATCACACAGCAGAATTTTGAAGTGGAGAGTACTTAAACCCATGGGCTATGTGCCGCTTTATGGACTTCACAGTAGCTATGCCCTTTGCCTGGCACAGTGCTGTCCATATGTGTAGTTGTAAATGGTCTAGTTCCCACATTAGAGAATGTAAAGGACTATATATTCTGTTTAACTCAACATAATCATAATATTATTTAATCTGTAGTTACTATAAACTGAGATCTTTGACATTCTTTTCCTCTTACTAAGTCTTTCAAATCCAGTCTTTCACACTTGCATCACACCTCAATTTGGACCAACTGCATTTCAAGTGCTCACGTCACATTGGTCAGCACTGTCTAGAATGTTCTGCCCCTTAACTTTGCGAGGTCCATGTCATTCAGGTCTCTGCCCAGGGACACCTTCCATAGCCATGTGGCCCAAACTAGCCATCTTCCACTTCTAACACTGCTTCCCCCTCTCTAAAGACTTACCATGACCTGATATTTTATAAGTTGTTTATTACCAGCCACCCATAGGATATTCCACAGGGCAAAGCCCTGTCTTCTTGAGCGCAATCCCCCATAACTACACAACATCCACAATAGACTCTTAAGAAATGATTGTTGAATGACTTTGAAGATTTCAGCTCCATTATTTGTTGTCTCTGAAGCCAAAGTTCATTCAGTGGGATACTGGGCAGGGATGCGGAGAGGGAGCATCGGACAAGAAATAAGTCACGAGAAAGCCAGGTGGAAGCTTTCTGGGAGCTAAAAGGCTAACTGTCACATGTCAGGCTAGAGGCTGTTTTTCTTTTTGGCTGTGACTTGGTTGTGTGTTGATTCAACCACTGGCTTATGCAGTTCTAGGAGAAACGATCTCTCAAAGTGGCACTTCTTCCAGGCACCAGTAGATGGGGCAGTATCATTAAAAAAAAAAAAAAAAAAAAAAAAGCGCAGTCTGCAATCAGATACAGTTGTTAACCCCTTTCCCAACTCAACTTCACTGTTCTGCTCTGAAACTGCCATGTCTTAGATCTGAGATATGGGCTCAGAAATGGTGCCACCAGCTTTCTCAACTGGAGAAATGCAGCCTTGGTTGCGACATGTGTTTTCTGAGCGGGGGTTGGAAGGGTCAGCCTGTCCTCCCCAGGATAAGCAGGCAAGGAAAGCAGGCCAGGCCCAGACCCCACTGGAAACAGCCTGGGTCTCCTCCTTGGTCCATTTGCTTAAAATCTCTTTGTCCTCATGAAGATGAGATGACAACAAACTTTTTAAGAAGGTATGAAAAATAGTCCACGTGTGGCAGAGACCAGTCCACAGGCTCATTATTGTGGGCCAGTGCATGTGGGATTGAATGCTGGTTGCCCCTAAAACACCTGGCTTGCCAGGGGAATCCTCTTGGCCACTGAAGTCCACTGGTCTCCCGCCAATACACGAGGTCTAGGTGGTGGCCCTTGCAGAGACTGATACCAGACTTAGCTCTCTCCACTCTCTCTCCCTCCCACCCCCTCCCATCTTTCTGACTCTTGGACCTCTGAACAATTTGGAAACATTAACTGCTTGAACATAATGTCTGTTTTTGTAGAGTTTACACTTTGAGATTATGTGCCAGCTGAAGGGAAGTTAGGACAGGTTAAGTTGATGTGTTTTCATTGAAATTTTTTGTTTGGAGCACATACTTCGTTGCATCTTCAAGACATTCCAGAAATTTGAGCAGAAGAGGAATTAACCTTGGCTTATTATAGACCTAACTAGCTCATTGCAATACCACGCCTGCTTATTGCCTCCATCAGTGCGACTTCAGAATATGGCATCAGAGCTGTTCTAATGACTCCTTGCGCCAGTCGCAACCAAGGCTGCATTTCTCCATTTCTCCATGGCCAGTCGGCCATGAAAAGACTATTCCTTCCCTCAGAGACTAGGAGGGCTCAAAAAGCATGATCAGGAAATTTTCTTCTCTCGCTGCTACAATCATTAAAAAACTCCACACTAATCTGTGTATTTTCACATTCTATAACTTTGCTCTTCTCTATACCCAGGAAACTCTTTCATCCTTTCCTGCTTGGAGAAATACTGTTCATCTTCAAATGTCACCACTTTTGTGAAGCCTTTTCTGATTTATCTGTTCACAATGAACTGTTGCTTCTTCCAGTTTCTCATGTATTTTGGACCTTTCTCAGGATGTGTGACTCACTCCATCTTCTTGTTCATATGCATGCCTCACTCATTAATTCAACAATAAGTTGGGTGTTGTACAAGACAATGGGAGATACCTTCATTGAGCATACCTTGCAGTGGAAGCCCAGAGTTGGGTGGAGTTTGTCCCTTTGTAGGACTGGGTGCTTCCTGGTGCTCCTAGTTCAGAACCTGGCACCAGAAGGTGCTCAGAAAAATTACTTAAATTAAAACTCAGCACCAATGATAGAAAACTGGGTTAGAGTTCAAAGAAAGGTTAAAATTTGGCTCACAGGCCTCCCTGGTGGCACAAGGGGTTAAGCACCACACTATGAAGCAATCCGCAGCGTCTGCAGCATGAGTTCGATCCCCAGCTGGCCAGAGAGAAACCCACATGGCGAGGCAGACCTCTCCTGTTGTGCCCACTGCTCCCCTCAGCAGCATATTTCCGTCGATCTGCCTGTTCTGTTCTCCGCTCTGTCTCTGGTGAATCCTATCACATATCCCCACCCCCCTGCATCTCTGGCCTGAACCCCAGCTCTTGTATGCATAAATAAATAAATCTTTAAAAAAAAATTTGGCTGAGGTTGAGGGCCAGGAGATTTCTGGGAGGGGCTACAATGGTTCTGAAATTAGGGCTGGCACAAAAGCCAGAGATACCTAAGAGCCCCAGTGGACTGGGCCTGTGTGGGGGGATGGTGGGAGGGGTTCCACTGTCTTTCTCCAGGAAGAGCCTACGAGTTTTATCATCTGGATATTTATCACATTCCAGCTAAATGTTTTCTTGCTTTGACTGAGAAGACAGTAGAGGCAAGAAGGTTGTTTCAAGGGCCCAGAAATGAGTTACTAACCAAGGGTCAACCTGGTCAGCTCACTACAACTACATTGTCCAGCTAGCACATGAAAAAAGCATAAAATGTGATTATCATTGTAAGTGGAGGGTGGTCAGGCATTATTTGACACTCAAACAAACAAAAAAAAAAAAGTCAACTTTTTTCTGTGAATTTTCATTCAAAATGATACAATAAAAGTCAACGATAAAATGGCTAGTTGACAACGGAATGACTGTCTGCCAAAGTAAACTGAATTCTAACCTTACACAAGACTTAGAAACTGTATGTTTCTCAGAATCTGCTCTACATGGAGAGCTGACCATGGGAGAGGGCGGTGGTGGCGGGGGGCAGTGAAGACAGGGAAGCACCTTAGTTACCTCCTCTGTTGTTCAGTCCCATCATGCCATACCACTCCTCACTTTTCACCATCTGTTGCGTAACTGAGGAGAAAGAGTTCCAAGGTAATGATGTGTCTTGGCGTTTTCTTCTCCCTTTCTTGTTTTTTTTTTTTTTTTAATAGAATAAAATCCTGGAAAAAAAATTTCAACAACATCCAGTCATCCCCAGAGAACGGTCACGCAGGGGAAAAACCAGTATGTCCCCAACCATTTTTGCAAAGGAAACTGTAGTTGAAAATCCCACCTTCCATCGCATCCACCAGAAGTTTCTGGTGGAGACATTCAGTGAGTTGCAATTCAGCTTGGGGGTGGAGTTGCCTTTCCTGCCGGGTAACCCCAGGTCTTGGTGATTTCTGCAGATAAAAGACAGGGTGGTAAATTCGGGATGAACTGCCTGATTGGGCCTGTCTTCGCATTAACTCCACCAATGGCTGCAACTAGGTCCCTTTAAGAGACCAGGAACCCGCCGGGCGTCCAAGCTCGAGACGGATCCTCTTCTCTGCTCCTCCCCCGTCCCTGCGCCGCGAATGGTTTGTGCCGGCCTATATTTACCCGAGATCTTCCTCCCGGACGGCAAGGATGTGAGGCTGGCCGGCCGGCCACCTCTCGCAGCACCGGAGGGGGCGCGCTACCAAGGAGGGCGGCTGACCGAGGGGAGCCCGGGAGCGGAGTTGGACACCACACCGGGAGGGAAGCAATGAAGTAGCGGCCGTCTCTGGAGCCCACGATGGGCGCGCCCCGTCCTCGGAGCCCGCGCCGCCCGGACCGAGCCAGCCGGGACAGTGAGCCGGCGGCGCCCGAATCCCCGGCGTCCGGCCGGCGCGAAGATGCAGTGAGCCACGGCGCGGTTGCTGCGCGGGGCCCGCCGCCGCCAGCCCGACCCACCTTTTGATCGCACTTGGGGCAAGCTGCTGATCTGAGACCAGTCCAGCTCGTTTCCAGCACCCCCTGGGGTGGGGAGCTCCGGCCCCTGGGCACACTCGCCGTTGAGTTTCCGCGATTTCTGGCGCTGGCCCTGGGGAGGGAGGGAGGGAGTGTGTGTGTGTGTGTGTGTGTGTGTGTGTGTGTGTGAGAGAGAGAGAGAGAGAGAGAGAGAGAGAGAGAGAGAGAGGAGGGGGTCAGGGGGGAGGACCCTCTTGACATTCCCGAGGTTTTCCTGCAGATTCTCGCACCATCCCGGCAGCTTTTACAGGGGCTTCTATTTATTTGCACGCGCGCATCTCTCTTTTTAAAGACATTTTCCGCCCCACTCTCGTGCGGTCTTTCTCTTGTTTTGCTTGCCTGAGATTCCGCCCTCGTCCTTTACCAGGCTGGGGTAAATCTGTGTGTGCCCTCCCCGCCCCCCACCGCTTCCCCCCCCCCCTGCAGAATATTCCTATTTCCTTCTCTTTAAAAAACTCTACCCCTACCTCTGTGGGGTTCCCGAGCGCTATACTCTCCCACCCCCACTCCCAACGACTGCGCTACTCTCAGCAGAGTTTTATTTTTCGGAATTGCCGGGCCGAGCCCAGCCGCGGCGGGTGGCTCAGCGGGCTCGCACCCCGCGCTCCGCCGCCGCCCAGCTGCGCCGGGGCGCCCTCCGGAGATGCTGCCGTGGAAGAAACACAAGTTCGAGCTGCTGGCCGAGGCGCCGCCGCGGCAGGCGTCCAAGCCCAAGGGCTACGCGGTGAGCCTGCACTACTCCGCGCTCAGTTCGCTGGCGCGGGCGTGCCCCGAAGGCGCGCTCAGCCGGGTGGGCAGCATGTTCCGCTCCAAGCGCAAGAAGCTACACATCACCAGCGAGGACCCCACTTACACCGTGCTCTACCTGGGAAACGCCACCACTATCCAGGCGCGCGGTGACGGCTGCACCGACCTAGCGGTGGGCAAGATTTGGAGCAAGAGCGAGGCGGGCCGTCAGGGCACCAAGATGAAACTGACTGTGAGTGCGCAGGGTATCCGCATGGTGCACGCGGAGGAGCGCGCCCTGCGCCGCCCGGGCCACCTCTACCTACTGCATCGCGTTACCTACTGCGTGGCGGACGCGCGGTTACCCAAGGTCTTCGCCTGGGTGTACCGGCACGAGCTGAAGCACAAGGCAGTAATGCTGCGCTGCCACGCGGTGCTGGTGTCTAAGCCCGAGAAGGCCCAGGCCATGGCCCTGCTGCTGTACCAGACGTCGGCCAACGCACTGGCGGAATTTAAACGGCTCAAGCGGCGGGACGACGCGCGTCACCAGCAGCAGGAATTGGTGGGCGCGCACACTATCCCGCTAGTGCCGCTGCGCAAGCTGCTCCTGCACGGACCCTGCTGCTACAAGCCGCCGGTGGAGCGCAGCCGCAGCGCGCCCAAGCTCGGCTCCATCACCGAGGACCTGCTCGGAGAACAGCAGGAGCAGGAGCTGCAGGAGGAGGGAGACGAGCACACCGAGGGCTGCCTGGAGGAGGAAGAGGAAGAAGAGGATGGCCACGCGGGGGTGGAGGACCCGGCGGCGGCGGAGGACGCAGAGGCGCAGCGAGCGCTGGTAGTGGCCATGCACTTCGAATGCGGGGACTTGTTAGACACGCTGGAGAGTGGCCGCGAGGAGGCGCTGGGGGGCGGCGGGGTCTCGCTGGGACCCGGGGCTGGGCCGCCGCCTCTGCTCTTGGGCAGCGCCTCTGACATGAAGGCCGAACTGTCGCAGCTTATCAGCGACCTGGGCGAGCTCAGCTTTGGCAACGATGTGCGCAGCCTGCAGGCCGACTTGCGGGTGACTCGCCTGTTGTCTGGCGAGAGCACGGGGAGCGAGAGCTCCATCGAAGGCGGGGGCCCTGAGGCCTCCTCTACCGGGGACCGGTCGGGTCCGGCCAACAGCGCCGACCCAGAAGAACCCCCCACCGGTTGAGCTCTGAGCAACCCCCTGCGCGCCCTTGGCGCCCTACCGTGACTCCCCACTCATCATCTCCACAACCTCCCTCTCCGCCTCTCGAGAAAGGGAGAATGGGACACAGGAGGCCAAAGGTTTCCCCAGCCTCTCCCCAGTCAACGCATTTGGCTCTGCTTGAAGTGGGACTCAGGTTTCGCATGAAGTATGGGGAGATGCTCGAGGGGGCGGGGAACTCAGGAGAGGGAGGTAACCCTCTTAAGTAGGCGGCAAGGGAAGGGCCCGCTGGAGTGAGTGGAGACCCGCAAGCCTGAGGTTTCCTGTTTGGGGCAGCTGGGGCCTGAGTAGGAGGGGTTAACTTCCTCCCCAAATCCCCCTAACTAGGAGGGTCTAACATTGTCATTTACCTGTCATTTAAAACAAGAATTTGCTCTCACAATGTTTGAGGCTTTGATGCCACCTCCTTGTTCCCAATTTTTTGGTGCAAGAACTTGGGTTGTTTACCTCAGAGTCAGACCCTTGAAATTCTGCCAAATTCCTCAAATAACTGTTTGTGGTGGGGGATGAAAGAAAGTTGCATTTTGTTTACAGTTAAAGGAGTTTGCCTTTAGAAACACACCTTCCTCCTGCTCAAAAGCTCTCCTCCATGATACTGTGTGAAATATTTTTGCACTGTTGTGAAGCATTTTTGACATCTTTTATTTTGTACATTAACTGTGTTCTCAGAGCTGAATGTTTATATCTTTTGCTGTGCAAAAGGGACATGTAATATGTTGTTCAGTTGTATATACAGAAATGTGTATAAAACATTTTGTTATTTTTTAAGAGTAGCACTGCCCTGGTTCTGTTTGCACACCAATGGGGAGAGAATAAAGAGGACAATTCAATGGAACAGGTTTAGCCTCTGGAACTGCTACTGAAAGAGCTTGGTGGAGGGGGTGGGAGAGGGTGTGACCATCCCTGGGATGCTGTGGTAGGACAGTCTTGGGCCTTGGGCTTGGAGGTGATTGAATGGGGGGAGGGGGGAGACTACTTTAGGCCTAGTCTGGGGCCATTCTGGCCTTCTGCAACTGAGGCCAGACTTCTCCTATAGCGGAGTATATCCCATATTCTTCATTAGTTAAGTTGTGGGCATGTGAGATTCTTCTAGTCTCTTTGAGTTAACTCTTGAAGATGTAGGGTGAGTTCTGTTCCTCACTCTCAGACCTGTGAGGTTATTTAGGGAGGCATGACTTTCAACTTCCTTCTAGGTTTTCCCACCTCCTTCTGTTGGTCATGTTAAAAATCAAGAGTAAGGACTATACACTCTTTTCCTTCATAAGCAGCTCAAGGAACCTTAAAAATGAACTCGAGACATATAGAAGTTCCCCAGGGGACTCTCTGAGTCGTTGGTTGAGCTTTGTTTTCCTGGGAGGACAAGGAGAGAGGAACATTTGCTAAGTTCCAATCATGGTCTGAGTGAGTCATGGTACAGGTGGGTGGGTGGGGAGGCAGATGGAAGAACCCACTTCCTCCCTCGTACAATCCAGCTTGACCCCTTGGGGGAATGGTGTGGAGGGCAAGGCAACAAGATCCCTTAGAGCTGGGCCTGTGTGTGTGTCTTAGGGTTTTCATGCTTTCTCTGTGTTTGTTTCTGTTGTAAACTCCAAACAGATGTCTCTAGTTTGGCTACACCCCATCAGCTGGAAGTTGTAACAAGATGCCGCCAAAACTGTGCCTTCTGCAAGTTATTTGCCCCTTTGGGCCCCTTTGCTCTGTTGCAGAAATGGATCTCACCCCGGCCTTCTCTGGTGTCCTGAGGCCACTTCACTTTGTTTTCATCATAAATATGATCTGAGCAGCTAGATCCAGAGATCCTAAGGAGTCTGGAATTCGCTGCAAACACAGAGGAAGGGAGGGTGGAAGATTTTTCTTCCTAATTTATGGGAGTGGCTTATGTCTAAGATTATCTTTAGAAAAGCAAAGCAATGGGTGTGTGTGGTGGGGATGGGAAATAATTATAAAACAGAGTTGCTTCTTATGGGCATTAGGACATGGTACAGGCCTTTGAGTCTGTTATCGTTTGGTTTGTTTGAGAGTCCCTATCCTCCCTGAATACCTCAGATATATGTCACTGAATGACAGTTGCAAGCTCCCCCCCAAGTAGAGACTGGTTGGGAAAGTCAAGCCACATGTGACCAGACACCCACATTGGTATGCCTTCCATACGGTTCTCACCTGATAGGAGACAACTGTGTGGGCCACTCCTGCGTGACTGGACTTCACATTTCAAATTATTTCCATGCACTGCCAAGTTCACCTGCCACCTGAAACTGATGAGAACATCAAATGGTGGAGATAATAAGGCTAATACTTGGGCCTGGGCAGGGTCTGGTGATCTTCATTCTTATTCTATTTATGCATCCATTGAGAAAGCTAAGGCTGACTTTCATCTGTAACTGATGTGAGGTATGGTGATTGGTCAGAAAGTTCAGACAAATGCCATTTAAGCCAACACCATCAGTAAATGTCAGGCAGCTGTCTCTTTAAAGTCTAATTTCTCCTGCTCTCTGACTTATAAATAGGGAAGGGGGTTTAGGGACGAGGAAGGAGGAAGAAAATAAGCACACTGCAAAGGGGTCAGCACCCCTCCTTTCTCCCTCTAGGTACTCTCCTTCTCTCCTTCCTCTCCTCTACTTTTTGGCTTTATCTCCCATGTGCCCCAGGGCTCTGGCTGATGTAATTCTAGAAGAGATGAGAAGGTGATATATGATTCACCTCTTCTTACATCTCAGTCTTCCAGGGATGATATCACTAGTGTAAGAAGAGATGTTTTGAATGAAAAAGAAAAAAAAAAAAACCAAAACCCCACAACCAATTTGTTCCTGATGCTCAGAAGGAAAAGAGAGGTGTGACAAAAGCAAAACTAGATAGTTAGAAGACATCACTATATCACAGAGCACCTGAGGTCTAGTTCTCTCATCAATTCTGCTTTTTCTTCTTGCAAAATGAGGCTCGTGTTTCTCCTTCATGTAACCTGATGGTGCTTTCAGTGTTGTGAGACACTTTCCACGTTCTTCCTCAGCCTGAGTACTCCTGTGTGTCCAACAATGCAGCATTGACTGCCTGGAAAACGGGGTGACTTCCGGCGGTGAGAGAGATCGCGGCAGGGGTGGCAGTGTGGGCACACGGAGCAGGCATTCATCAGCCTCTCTCGGCACAAACAGCCCATGTTCAGTTGTATAATTTGCTGTGTTGCCAGGAAAGCGGGGAGAAGTAGGACGGCATAAAATAAACACTAATGTTACAAACTCTCTCACTATTATAGTTTCAGAGAACACCCGCTCCATGTTCACCCATGCTTCTCCCTAAAGAAAACATCCCTCTCTCTGCCCACAGTCAACAGAACAGTAGATTTTAAACGAATGAGAAAGTCTCTGTCATACTGAGAAAGCACAGTTCCCCTTCGCGGACAGAACTCTTGTTAGGGTTCTGCTGGTGAAGGGGGAGCGAGCTGGTGGGGAGAAGCTAACCCTGGCACTGCACTGGAGATCAGAAAACCTCAGGGGAGTCACCAAGGGTCACGAGAAATATAAAAATCCTATTAGGAGGTTTGCCCTTGTTTCTAATAGGATTTAGTAATTGAATAAGCGGAGCCCTCTGCTTGGTGTGGTATACGCATCAGGAGCCCTGGCGTCTGCTGGTTAGTGATGCACCACGGAGCTAGGAATGGTGCTGACTGCTGGGGCTGGCAGCTATGCTTGACCTGTGGGAAATGACCTAGGGCTCCAGGCAGGAAGGAGGCCAATGACTGGGTTGCTCTGGATATCTGCCGATGGCCACGCCTGGATCTGGCTTTACCATTAGTGGGGGGCCTTTCCTGCGGGCTCACAGTGCACAGTGTGCCTGGGGCTAACCTTTCCTGGCTCTGAAGTGACCCCATGTGAGCAACCTTGACTAACCACCGTCCAGGTGGCGCTGCACCTTACTAGTCCTCCCTTCTCTCCCTAGGGCTGTTCAGTGGCACCAACAAAGTCCTTGACTCTAACCTCTCAGGAGAGTGGTCCTTCCGACTGCCTCCTCTGCTGACCTCCTCTTTATCTCTCTCCTGTCCCTCTTTCTCCAGTTAATACATCAGTTTCCTCTGGCTTCTACTACCCAGCGTCCCCACTCATCCTGTCTTCATTTTCCTCCTTCCCACAAACCTAGTTCAAAAACAGAAAAGAATCCTCAGATTTTCAGAGGAAAACCAATCAAACTATACATTGTCCTCAGCCAGTATCATGCCTGCAATGCCAGGGCATGCTCTGGCTCTGTCCCCTACTTGGAGATGAACAAACCGAGGCATGGAAGGCTATGTCCGGCCCTAGATCACAAAAGGAGGGGCCCAGACCCAGGGATCCAAACCAATGCTCTTTTCAATTTCCTCCAGATTTTATGGTTTATGACCAGATTTTTAGTGTTGGCATGACAGAAATTGGCAGTTGAATTTTTCTTTGTTTCCATTTTTTTTGTACTCCACATTTCATGCATGGTAGATACTTGATGATAAACATTTGTGACATCATTCATCAATATACCACTCCCACTACCAAGTATGAGTAGCTACTAGATGCATGAGACTAGAGGCAGAGTCAGGCAGCTCTCTTCCTGGGGAGGACTCTCCAGGGTGGGGTGACAGACCCCAGAGGAACTTGGTCTTCTCTTGTTCCCACCCCTGCGATCTGGCCTGGCAAGGTCTTTCCCTAGAAGAGTAGGTCCAGTTTGAGGGCGGGGGAGCTCTTCCCATTGCATCATGATTATTAGTCATCAGTAGTCTTCCTGGTTGGCTGAGTCCTCAAAGGATAGGCATGTGTTTCTAGGCATCACTGATTCACCACACTTAGCACCAACTCTGGCACCTAGTAGGTGCTCAGGAATTGCCAATGAGGGTTAAAGGAGCGGTTCCACTTCGTGCTAGGAGAGTAGGTTTGATAGAGCTCAAGGTCATTACCCAGAAGAACCAAGGTTTTTAAGATATGTATTTGGTAAGGAGTGAAGATTGGGATTCAATCAGCTCCTCAACTCTACATGAAGGAGAGTCAGTTCCCAAATTTTTCCTAGGAATGTTCCTGACTTTCTTAGGGATAGGTGATTCTGGTTTGGACAAGTTATGGTTTAGAATGGAATTGGATTTGAATCAAAATGGAGCCCCATACCTGATCATCCTAACCCCAAGGTTATTGCCAAAGCTCTCTCATTTGAGTTAAATGAAGGTTCAAATCATGTGGTGGGGTAGAGCGCCTGCAGGACAAGCTTTGGGTGTGGCGCTGAAATGAGTGGACTCCTTCAGCATTGACCAGGTCTGGTCATTTTCCTTCTTGGGTCTCAGCATCCTTATCAATAAAATGGGTGGGTGGGGTTAGATAATAGCAGACTTTCAGTACTGATGTTTTAAATTGAGGAAGGAGCCAAGGTTCAGTTCAAGTGTGTTTCTGCCTTATCCATCTTGTAGTGGGGAGAGTAGAAGCAACCTGACTGTGGGCTAGAAACTGTCTAGGGCCCTGTGGGACATCCCTCACTTTTAGGATCTATCAGGACCTGGATCCTCACAGAGTGGAACTTGGAGCTGGCATTCTCTTGGCTGAGCCAGAGCAGGACTTGCCTATTGGCCTTTCCTTTCACTCCCTCAAGAGTTGAGGGGCACAGTGGGGACTAATGCTGAACCTAAGACTCAGGCTAGGGAACAGTTAGGGTTTATAAAATGGCTTGCCTAACATCATTCAGCAAGTTGGGGCCAGAAATCCGGTCTCCTGACTCAAAGTACTACACTCCTTTCCCTGTAGTTTTTGAGCTGGAGATATGTTAGTTTGGAAGCAACCCAGACACTATCCAAGGAAACTTGGCAGAGTCCCAAACATCTGATCAAAGGCTATGAGGGCAGCAGGTATTTTGTTCTCCAAACAACAGAGGCCAGGCTCAGCTGCGCCAAGTCTGAGAAAAAGAGGGAGTTGATAAGCCGGAGCACACTTTCT